TTTCCTCAAAGTTCTTTTGAGCCTACTTTCATCTTCTAATTTCACTAATATCTAGGATACAATTATGTCAGTGCAACACCAATAATGCATCCAAAACCACAAAATTCAACTTAGTAGGCATTTATGACATGATACTATATGCCAATATCCTTACCTAAGTTTAACAGCTTCAATTTCAGATGGGATTATAACTTAGAAAAATTTTATTAGCATAAATAAAGTTTCAAGGATTTTTTTTCCTCCTTTCCTGGGAAAGTGCTTGAAAACATCTATTTTTTAGAGTCTTCCTTTTTAGACTAAATAAAAAAGACCATTTAAACAAAAAAGCAATATTACTTGTCAACAAAATTGTCAATTTTTAATTATTCTAAAACCAAAAAGCTTCAAGTTAAAGGAAAGTGTAGTTAATAAGCTCTCAAATAAAAATTATACATCCCCAAAGAACATTGTTATTTTGGATTTTTTTTTCATCCCGCTAAATGTAAATCAAATAGATTCTGATTAAACATATACTATGTCCAAACCAGGTAATTACTGCATGGAGAAACAATTCACTTCTGCTCTACAGTATAACATTCTATCAACCAGTTAAGCAGTACTAAACTTTCTAGCAGAGTAATATTTATGCCTTAGAATGATCTTTATTCATAATAGCCAAGAAATGGAAATAACCTAAGTGTCAAACCACTGATGAATGGACAAAGACATGGTACACATATAAAATGGAATACTATTCATCCATAAAAGCTTACTATTTGTGACATGAATGGATCTGGAGATCATTGTGTTAAGTGAAATAAGTAAAGCACAGAAAGACAAGTACCCCATGATTTCACTCATAGGTAAATTATAAAAAAAATTCATCTCATAGAAGTTGAAAGTAGAATGATGGTAACTGGAGACTAGGAAAGATAAGGGGTGAGGCAGAGAGAGAAGAGAGGTTGATCAGTGGGTACTAAGTTAAAGTTAGATGGAAGCAAAAAGTTCTGGTGTGCTTCAAGAAGATGCAAGAAAGAATTTTAAATGTTTTCACCATAAAGAAATGATAAATGAGGAGACATGCTTAACCTGATTTAAAGTTTACACAATTCATACATGTACTAAAATATCACATAGTACTCCAAAAATATGTACAATTTTTATGTTTTTATGTATCCATTAAAAATAAATTTAATTTAAATTTTAAAAAAGAAATAATGAGTCTGAATATCACCATGAGAATTAATTTTTTTTAAATACTCAACTTAGCTATTTTCCAATGCTATCCAATACAAGATACAAAGTCAAAACATATTGTAGGAAATGTATTTCCTGAATGATAGATCAGGCTATATATGAAAGGATGTATTCAAAATGCAATTTCTACCTCAACTAGACTGACCATCATCTAATGAAAAGCCTTGGAATATGATTAAGCTTTCGTTTTCATACACATATATCTATAATGATAGAACAAACCATAAATAAGAACAATTACACAATAGCTAAGTGACTGAGTTGTTGCTAAAGAAAGGCTTGTCACTGAGAAGCAAAGTAATCCACATCAAGTCCAAAATAAAAAACCATGAAATGGTAGATCATTTTGCCTTTCAATTTTGAATTTTAAAGAGAATAATATCTACTCAAGGACTTCTTCAGTGAATAATATCAGAAATCCAAAGAAAGAGAAAAAAAAAAGATGTTTCTGCAACTCCCATTTCTAGAATAGTAGTGTAGGACCTATTTAATTTAAGAAATATTTAATAAAGTTTTCCAGGGCTGATTTTAATAAAATTGGAGTTTTTCAAATTTAGACTTATATCCCAAAGTATATTTAATGATTACTCAGTACAATTAGGCTATGTTGCAGACTTTGTAAATAAGTGTCTAATATTTTAGCAGGTTGAAAATCAACTATGTAATGAGCTTCAAACTACTTTTGATAAAAATCTCTCTATAAAAATGCATTGGAGCACAAGGTTCTCAATTCACAGCACCCCCCAAAAAAAATGTATTGGTCTATTGTTTGACTAAACAATAGAACATTAAACATAAGCAAAAATGTCAATAGATTTACATGATGCTTGTGCTTTTAACTTATGTAACTGGGAGTATATGTACCATTCCCATGTTTTGAGTCCATTAAGATAGTTCAAGTCCCATCATATCTAACCATCCAAGGCTGCCTCAGATCTTTTGTTAGGATGACAATTGTTTATATCAAATATAACTTGAAATAAATGAACCTGTTATACTAACCTTGGAATTCACTTTGATAGAAAGAAGTAATTATAATGGCTTTTGTTGTAACTGATTTTGCCCTGTTTTAAGCACAAGGGTATCAGAAGAAGCTTTTGACTATTTAGACTTCTAATTACACACCATAGCCAGATCCAAGTTGGCATATATTTTCATAGTTTCCCACTCAAAAAAGAAGTCCTCTAAACTACACATTGACATAAGCATACAGCAACCAACTCAATGAATACCTGACCAGTGGTGCATCTGTAGAGCTAGTAAAGAGCACTAGTTTCTTCTTCCGATGTGTGACAATGACCAAAGTCTCAAAAATAAGCCAAACGGCCTCCAAAATCACTCCTAACAGACTGCCTCTTCCATAGATAACAACTGTAAATTCTGGACAAAATCCAAAAACAAAAAGTCTACTCCTGCAAGACACAAGAGAACAACCAAGAGCAGTAATATTTAGGGCAGAGGTTAGAGGGAGCAGCTGGCCCTCAAAAAAGAAGACAGTATGGGAGTGCACATTTCATGGCTTCTAGCAAGAAGGAAGGATATCAAGATCTAGAGAGCCAGAAATGAGGAGCTCTAAATTCTGTGTACAAACTCTTCCCATCTCTCGGGCTGACCACCAAACCACACAATTATGGGCATACTACAAGCAGTGCCACCAAGGATGAAACACCGGGCTAAGGCTCTGGCTGGTGGCCAGTGGGCAACACTTCTACTTTTGTCCAGTTGAGTTAATTGCCCACTATAACAAAAGAAATCAACTCTATTCAAAGAAATATCCACCATGCAGAGTTTCCACAACAAATCATTCATAAACTTCAGGATATAATCCAAAAGAACTCAGCATTCACAAAACATAACCCATTCTTAAAAGAAGATGACCCTGGGAGGCCACCCACAAGATGGCCCAGATGACAGAATGGTCAGAAAGAGACTCACAGCTGCCATTGTAATGGTGCTCAAGGAATAAATAAAAGTGACCTTTTTAATCAATTTACAGATAGGAAGTATTAACAGATGACCAGAAACTTTTAAAAAGAAATAAATGGAAAATCTAGAATGGAAAAATAAAATTTTAAGAAATCACCAGATAGGGTTAACAACAGAATAAAAGTGATGAGAGAGGAAAGATAGATTAACAGAAATTTATAAAAGAAAAGAACAGAGCCCTATGAGACAAAAGGTCAAAAAATCAAATATGCATATGTCATAGGTAACTGGAGTTACAGAGAACAGGAAAGAGAAAATAGAACAGAAAAAGGGCTTTTGAAAAGTTAAAAGCCAAAAATATCATTAATTCAGTAAAAGACACAAATTTACAAGTTCAAGAGGCTTGGTAAACCCCAAACAGAATGATATAAATAATACAGTGGCTAAATATATCATATTTAAAGTGTTAGTATGGAGGGGGTGAAGGAAGCACAGGGAATGGGGAAAAAATAAGAACCAAGATACACCATGTACAGGTACAAGCACTCAATAATAAATGTAAATGTATTATATACCTAAAATGTACCAATAAAAGAATTTAAGCAAAAAAAAAACCCAAATATATAGAAAACTTTTTGAAAAATCATTATATACAAGAAAAAATGATTCAAATAATAATTGACTTTTCATCACACACCAGAAAATAGTAGAACAGTATAAAGTTCTGAAAGAAAAATAATTATAAACATAGAATTCCAGATTCCCTGAAAATATCTTTCAAGAATAAAGGTGAAATAAAGATATTTTTAGATGAAAAGAACAAGGAGAATTTATCACAGTCGAACTTACACCATAAGAAATGTTAATGGAAGCTCTTCAAACTGACAGGAACTTGGATTTTCAGGAAGGAATGAAGAGCACTGGAAATAGTTTGAAATTTTTTTTTCTTTTTCTTTTTTTTTGGTATGGGGGTTTAAACTCAGGACCTTGATCTTGCGAGGCAGGCAACGGCACCACTGAGTGAAATTCTTTCATGATAAAATTATGGACAGAAAAATAACTAAAATATATAAACCTTATGAATTTTAATGCCCTAACCTAAAAGAAGGAACAATAAAGCTGTAAGACATAAACCAGAAAATAAGAAACACAACTACACCCTGTAAAACAATTAATTATTATTTAAAGTACACTGTGCATTTATAAACATTCCCAAAATCAGGAAAGTCACAAGACTTTAGTGTTCAGCTTAGCAATAAATATTTATTAAACCTCATTTTCCAACATAACATACTACACATGTCAGATTTTCTGCTTGAGAAAAAAAGGAAGCTGTTTTCATTTCCAAACCAATTTGACAAAAATTATTGACAAACCAAGACTTTAGAGGATTTAGGAACAAAATGTAAAATAGCCAAAAAACTGCTAAATACTCAATCTGAAATGCAACATCCAAAAATTCCAGTTTTAGAGAATGAATCCATATGTTTATTACCCACATTAGGTTTTTACTTAAGTTGTCCTTGCAAAACAGTGCAAACAATATCAAGCCACCAAATTACCTATGGGCCAGCATGGTTTTCCTTCCAGCTACTCAAAGTATACATGTCTCAATGTAACCTACATTACACAGATAATAAGATTAAGGAAAATAAAGAGTTGTATTTCCGACACCTAGAAATTTGCATTTTCAGCAACCCAAAGGAAATCTAGGCTCCCTGGCTAGGTAACTATCTTTGTGATACTACAGACAAAACAAAAATTGTACGTGTTCATAAATATAGCATGTGGAAAAAGAACAAGAGATGCTAACCATAAAGTTCTGAGTGTCTCTAAAATGTTGGTTATGGACGGAACTTCAAATTTCACATTCCTTAAAGACCTATTCTAAATGGCCACTACGTACTTCCGCCTCTTTTGGAGGGCAGTGGCCCGTAGCCCCTGTACGTCACTTCCGGCCCTCGTGATTATGCGTTAGAGCCCTCGTGATGAAGTGCGTGTTTGTTACTGTAGGGACCAGTTTCAACGAGCTCAATGAACGTATGTCAGCGCAGGAGAGTCTCTGTATCTTCAAGAGCCTCGGTTACAGCCGACCTACTCTCCAAATTGGTAGAGGAACAGTGGTGCCTGAACCATTCAGCACTGAGTTCTTTACTCTGGACGTTTACAGGTACAAAGATTCCTTGCAAGAAGATCTTCAGAGACCAGATCTTGTTATTAGTCACGCAGGTGCAGGAAGCTGTTTGGAAACTCTGGAAAAAGGCAAGGCACTTGTGGTAGTTATAAATGAAAAATTGATGAACAATCATCAGCTGGAATTGGCAAAGCAGCTACACAAAGAGGGGCATTTCTTCTACTGTACCTGCAGCATGCTTCCTGGGCTGTTACAGTCAATGGAATTATCAACACTGAAATGTTATCCTCCTGGCCAGCCAGAAAAATTTTCTGCATTTTTAGATAAAGTTGTTGGATTACAAAAATAAACATTAAACTCTCAACACTTTAAAAACACCCCCAAATCTAATCTATGGAATGTGATTAAATCAAATTAAATACATAATCTATATTTGTAGAATAATATAAATAAGTTTCCTACATCTATACAATGTATGGGAAATTTTATGGTGTGAACATTGCTTTTAGGTCCAAATCCTAATTGAAATTTAGGAAACATACTGGATTTCCCTAATCTTCAATATGTAATGTGGATTCAGAGGTTTGGTCCTAGAATCCCAAATGAATTTGGCATTGTGAAAAAATGAAATGTGAAAACACTAGCAAGAATCACAAATATAGTTTGATGTTCCTTAGAGTAAAAAACTGAAACAGTAAAAACTTTAAAAATATTTTGCATGAGAACCAGCATCTTTAGCTTCATAATCCAAGGAACCAATTTTTTTAAAAGGAAGTATAAATAATGGGTTGTGCTCTGAAATAAAAAAGGTCAGTAATTGCCTAAAAATGATGATCCAAGTTAGTTGTGTACTTGGAAAAACTTTATCCTGAGGAGTAGAGTGAGGTGGATATGTTCACTTTTTTCCCTCTAAAATACAGTGACAAAATCTTGCCCAGTATCAAAACTTTAGGAAACTGAGAAGAATAAAAATGGACTTACACGTTAACATTTAAAGATAGCCTCTCACAATGATAAACATTTACTGTAATAGAAAATTTGACAATTTATGTGCTTATAATAGTTTTACAAGTGAATAATAAATGATGTATATGATGGCATAAAAAAAGACCTATTCTATTTTCCCTTTACCATTCAGTATTGTAAACCATTTATACCCTTGCTCAAGTGACCCTGAGAGACCAGGGTCAGAAATCACAAATATTCAATATTCAGAGATTCAATATACAGAGAATTCTTTATCACTCATCACTGAAATGCGAGTTAAAGAAAAATTATAAATGTCAACTATCAGTTTTATTCTAAATTCCTCCTTTTCTCTCTTATATTATGGTTTCTCTTCTGTCTTTGCACCTTCCTCCAGGTCACTTTCTCAAATGGAAACAACTTTCACCTCATATTTACAGAGACATCTTCCTGCCTTGGTTGAAAGAGGAACTAGGGACAAATTTAGTGTGCATAGTGATCCAGTTAACGAGCAACTCTCTTTCTCCTCTTAATGTTATGTAGAATCAGGTGTTATTTTAATTTGTAGTTGGTAGTTCATACATTGTAAGAGGAAGCAAAAGAAGAAGTCAGTACAAACACAGGTGCCCCTGTCAAATCTAGATTGTTGATCTGGCTTCTCCATACCTTTGACAAGCAGAAAAGGGATATTTACACCCCGTGTGGTCTTTGAGTGTACTAATTTTGCAAAACACTGACTCAAATCCATTCAAACTGTCTTAGGATTTATTTTGCCTGCAAATCCAGTGAAGACATGACCCACCTAACTTCTTTGTACCTTTTATGTAAATGACTTTCAGACAGTACAATTCCATCAACGCACTCCACTTTCCCAAGGAAACTCCTTTTGAATTTCTTAACTTTAAGAAACTAAATCATTCTAGGATATATTTTTTCTTTATGTTTCACAGAGCCAGCACAGCTAACTGATCACCATCCAGGAGAAACAGAACCAGGCAGTTTATTCTGCTTGCTGCTACACTCAACTAGCAGTGTATTAGTGGTGGTAATTGCCCATCAGATTGGGACTGAAAGGATGGATTGCAGTGGGAATCCTGTTTAACAAACACTGCAGTTAACACCACCTAAATGTTTGAGGGTGAGAAAGGTAATAAACAAAAAATTAATGTACAATGTTCAGTCTCCAAAGATAGCCAGATGGCTCGCTGCAACATCAGATGTTTCCTCTTTGCCTTTACAGAGAGAATGGCTCAGCTCTGTGCAGTGAGTGGTATAGTTGACATTTTCTGGGAGCACAGGCATCTGATGTAGGATGATAGGAGCCATGATGCAGCCTGGCTGGGATGCCTTGAGGACCCTGAGCTCAAAGCCATGCCAGGTGTCCCAAAGGGCCAGGGAACACAAGGAACAACAGTAATAAATTGAATAGAGAGCAAATTTCACAAGCACAGTGCTGGCCACATCACCAAGACTCATTCTGCCCAGAGAAGAAAGGAGGGAATAGTTGACTTGCAGAGCTAGAAAGGTTTGTTTCCTCCCCACCTCAAGATCTCAGAGCAGCCAAGGTCCCTGCTGTGTGTGGTCAGGCTGTGACCTGAGCCATCTACGTAAAGCCCTTCTATTTCCACCTCACTGTTAGAAAACAAAGACACCTTTAGTTCTCCGATGCAACCAGCCAACCCACAGCTTTTGTCACATAATCCAAAACCACAAGGCGACCACTGTCCCTCAGTGCAGAAAGCTGGGCACTCTGGGCTCACTTACCATCGACAAAGCCTTTCCAACAGGCACCTCACTTTCTTCTCACCTTTTCCTTCTGTCTCTCCATCTGACTGCTCCATTTGTGTTTTACCAGGATTTCTCCAAATAACAAGTAGCTAAGCAGCCCAAAACAAAAAGATTGGGAACAGCACATCTGCCAGGACAGGAGGCAACATCCTTCCTGCTCTCCACCCAGGCCCCTGATGCTTGGAGAGCAAATAAAGAGCATACTGTCCACTGACCACCCGAGCTACTCAGGCCTCCATTCTACACCTTGCATTTGATGCTTTTCTGTGGACTTGAGAGCAATGCTTTCCTTATTCTGAAAAAAATCATCAAGAGGTCTTTTTAGGCTATGGATGCCAAAACACATCAGCAGCCTGCAGAACTGGAACGTCATGGGCACACTCAGCTTACTCAGTAAGCATGGTCATTTCCAGGTTTGAATAAATCAAATCTGTTGTAAAGTCCTAGTAGAGCTCATAACTTAAAGCAACACTGCAATATACTATTTTACTATCCCCTCTTCTCTAACAGGGGGTCTAACTGGAATCCATGATTCCCAAGGCATCTGTGGATAGATTTTATGGAGTACATGTATTTGGTTGGGAAAATACTCACCTTTATTTTCAATAATCTCTCAACTTTGTATTTTCTTCAATTATGACAGTAGGCACCAAACCACAATATTAGTGTGACTGACTGAGATCTCAGATATTTTCATATTACATTACAGTTGTTGCAGATATCTCCAAATATCACTCAAATTCATCAACTTGAAAAATCACAGTCATTATTGGATTTCTACTAGATCTTGTTATTTATTGCATTACTAATGAAATCTATGTGTTTGTGTATTATAAATGTGTTTATTATGTTGATGACTATTTCAATACATTTGCTTTCCTTTGTAATCCTATTAGTGTGATTTATGTATCTAAAATATTATTCTAAGGATTCTATAGCCTTCACCAAACTGTCAAACAGGTCCATGACAGAAATAAGCGTTAAGAATCCATGTTATAAACTTAGCAGACCTCTGGCTTGGCCCCCAAGCACAATTTATACTTTCAGCCACAGCAATTTCTATTTTCAAAATATCTTCTTCCCTTCCTTTGTCACCAGAAATCAAAACCTACCCCTCAGTGTGTAGAGCGTACACCACCTTTTTCATTAAAGCCTCACAATTCAGTGTTTCAATCCCTCTTCACCTTATCACACTCTTTTATAACAGTTGTTATAACAGTTGTTATAACAGTTGTTATAAACACTCTTTATTCCATTCACCTAAATTAAAGTTCCCTGGCAGACAGGTACTTGGTGTTCATCAGTGAGTGGCCAGCAGCAGTAGCCTTTTGGGAGGTCTGCTATGCTCGCTCCCTCATTCTCCATAGCACTCTCATTTATCTACATTTCTAAACTGAGGAACGATGGTTCATGTCACACTCCCCTTTCAGTCTGTAGACTAAGACCAAATCCCTAGGTCTGGTGTTCAAGGCCCTTCCCCCACCTGACCACTACCTACAGTTTAGGTTATCAACTCTTCACTCTCTAAGCCTTGTGTCCTAATCATTCTCCAAACTCCCACACAGTTTCACACTTGCACACTCTCATTTCTGAAAATCCCTCTTCCTGCAATCAATATTCATTGTCCTTTCCTGTGGAGAGAAAAATATGATGGTTATCTTTCCAAAATAGCATTTTTCAAGGAGCCCCTGCCCAGATGCACACAGACAAGCAACAAGGGCATCTTTTACTTGATTTTTGTAACTGATATTTTTTGTCACAGATTTCCTTCTAAAATGTCATCATTCTATTTTATCACTCTGTGACACAGTTCTGAATGTTTCTAGAACCATAAGACAGTTTGAAACTATGCATCCCTATAGTCTGTCACCACCTGAAATTTAAAGCTAGTGCCCAACCACCACACCATTTTGAGGGGCCTAGTCCCCAAAGTTGACCTATATTCTGGTTCTCCACAGATCCCATAGAATTTTCTTGGCAAACAAATGCCTCCTTCACTATGGGATCACATCATGGAATGTGAACCTTGGATCCCTTACTGTTGTCTCCAGGAGACACTGCAAAGACAGAATAACATAAGCTTTTTCTTAGCCTACCACTGATCCTTCCTGCCTTTAATGAAACTCCTTGTGCCTTGGAAGCTCATGTCATGTGTTTTCCACCTTCTATCTGCCCTTGACTTCTTCTCCCATCCACCTCCACTAGACATGCAATGGTGTTTAGGGAGAATGAAGGCACCCGCTACAGTCTCCACCACAACTTGTGCCATCTTCTGGGATGACTTGGTTCCCACATCCCCTGGTCTCACAATTCTTAAACCTTCTGAACTCCACCACTCACTTGATCTGCATATCAGCAACCATTCTCATGGTACACAGAGGACTTTATCATTAAGCCTGATATCCCATTCTCTGAATATCACCATCTATCATGCCAAAAGTAATGCTCAGCAGTTCCAGCTAAATATTCACTTATTCTATTTCATAGAATCCTCTTGACCCTTGATATAGTCACCTTCTTTGAATCCAGTAAGAAAACATACACACACACACACACACACACACACAAAACACTACCTTAAGATCTTTTCTTCCCTAGTGAGCATAATTTTGTGTTTCCATCTCAACTGCTTAATCCCACATAAACCATAGGACTCATTGGGCCCACAGAATCTTCACAAAGAAGGCTAACGTGAAGCCTTTGACAGAGGGGCCCAGTGCAGTAGACACCGCCACTCTGACTGTACCGTCATTATACCCTTGCCTGCCCTCCTATGAGGCTGTTCACTCCTGGGGAATCAGGGGTTTCTACCCTACTTCTTAGAAAATGAGAAAGAAGGCACTCTTAGTGGGATTCTAGCTCCATAAAAATATTAATTTCATCAAAGAGATCTTCCTCACACAAGATTCTCAATAAATAGTTGTTTAGTGAATGAATTAGGTCTCTTTTTACACTCTGAACAATCAACAGTTCTATCATTTGGGGTATTTGTTGTTAACACTTAGATTGTCACTCATTGTTATGTATGGTCCTTCTTTCCTTATCTTTCCTAAAAGATTTTAAGTTCCTAACAGGTTTCTATCCCCCATAAAAATTCTAGTGTCCTA